CCCCAAAACCCCAAAACCCCAAAACCCCAAAACCCCAAAACCCCAAAACCCCTTATTTTTCAAAAATTATTGAGATAAATAACCAAGTTAATACGAAGGGCTCCATATTTTGGCAGTCTTATCTGCACTGGTTGAGAGAAGAATGGACTGTTGGCTATGCCACTTCACACTGATCACTTTATTGCTATGGTGGAGAGTTTGCACTATTTCTCATTCTTTTAAGAGATCACATATTTGGATTGTTGAATCAAAACCTCCGGAAGCCAAATATTTCCCATCATAGCTGAAACTAACACTCCTTGTCTCTTTTTCATGAGCCTTTATATCATTGACTCATTTTCTCATATTGAGATCCCAAATTGAGATGCCTCCAAAAGTATGCGAAACTGCTGCTATTTTTGAATGTATGTTATGAACTTCAGAATTCAAACTGACTCAAGTTGTTTCACCAAACTCAGATCAATCAATTGAAAATGCACATTTGTTTTGACGGAGATCCCATACTTTGAGCAACATGTCTTTTCCAACACTGGCAAAAAAGGATCCATCAAAGTTTGGTCTGATAGAAAATATTCCATCTGAGTGGCCTTCAAGGTCAAGAATGTTTTCACCTGTCTCTGTATTCCAGATTTTTAGGGATGAATCTCCTTCTCCTCCGGAGACCAAGCTGAGTTCATTATCAGGATCAAATCAGAGAGTTCTGACAATGGCTTGGTGGCCTATAAGAGTAAGTTCAAGGAGGTTGTCTGATTCCTCTCCCTCTTCCAGTTCATTGAGAGGTGGGCATACTAAGATTTTTATTTTCCTATCATTTGAACCTGAAGCTATTAACCTTTCACATCTTGTCCAGTCAAGTCAGTAAATTGAACCCTCGTGGTGGTTGAGTTGGTTAAATATTACTGGAATTTCTTCCAAGCTTTCGTCTGTCTCTACCTTAGGAAGGAAATCAGGCTGGTCACTTAGAGGTCTTTCTCCAAAATCACCCATAAATTTAGCAATGTTTCATATCTTTAAGCTTTGGGAATTGGTTCCAATCGCTAGATAGTCTCCATTGAAGCATCCTGTTCTGATGGGAAGAGAGTCTGTTAGAATTCCTCTTTCAACAAGCCCAAGTGGGTTAAGGTCATTCTCACTTTCAAGGTTGGACTCAGAATAGAGATTATTCTGGAAGTTGTACATCCTATCTTCCTGTGGAATAAAATCATCCTTCTGTTGTGTATTTAAAGATCTCTCACTTGCTTGAAGCTGGCTTGGGTTGATTCCTTCTTGACTAAAAGAGATCTCACCTTCAGTTTCTTCTTCCTCTTCTTCTTGGATAAGATCTTGATCTTCGTGATCAAGAATGCTAGAGAAATTAACACAAAAGTCTTACTTATTAGGGTAACTTTGGGATAATATTTTACTCATGTTAGTATCTTGGTTTCTCTCTAGAGTTCTTACACCAATGGGGCTTCCCTTCCTCATACTCTCTCTGAAGAGCTTTGAATGTACTTCATCCAGATGAGAACTAGGAATCTGGTTTATCATCGAAGTATCTCTATGGACACTTACTTGGTCCTGACTATCATCCTGGTTGGTTCTGAGGCAAGAGGTATCTCGATCAAGGTTGTTGTCATCAAATGAATTTCTATTCTCATTGGCTACTTCCGGATCAGACATCATTAGCATCTGCTCTTTTTCCTGGAGGCCTATCAGCATCATGGACGAGGACTTGTCTTCAGGATATTTCTGGTATTTACTTTTAAATGATTTCCCTCTACTTTTGTAAGATTCATACTGTGAATAATCCTGGTCTTTATTTCTGTGCAGAAGAACTAATGCTTTTATTTAGTTCTTTTTGAATCATCTCACTGGCTTTACGATGCAAAGTATTGTATGAATACTGAAGAAGCTCTTCTAAGCTTGACTCTAGGTTTACCTTGGCATCCTCCTGAAGAGTAAAAACTGAACAGAGATGCTTCTTACAGTTTTCAAATGCCTGGAAACGACCATTTTGGGAACTCCATTTTTGGTAGTCAGGGTGTTCATTAAGACTTGAAATTGTCAAGCAGTAGCATAATGAGTTGAACTCTTCTTTTGGGCATAACTCCTCAAGATCCTTTAATGCCTTTACATAAGTTTTATAAGACTCGTTCTGGTCAACCATCTCAAGGAACTTCTGTCGCCTAAGTTCAAAGACCACCGCGTTATGGTTGAAATTCTTATTTCAATTTAAGCGGCTGAAGGAAGTTCTCTGCGTCTTCCCACTGACCTTCGATTATGAGGTTTCTGAAGAACTTAATCTCCTTTGAATATTTGTACAACTCTATCTGGGTCTCAGTCTCCAAAGACAGGAGGGATCTGAAGAGTTTGTTCCTCTGAAGATAGTCAAGTATCAGATATATAATAGACTTGTGACTCAAGCCCTCCATTATTTGGTCGGACATTTAAAATTTTGCAATTAGTTATGATTTTTTAGGGGTTTTGGGGTTTTGGGGTTTTGGGGTTTTGGGG